ATAAAAATAACAACGATAGCAATAACAATAATAATAAAATTCACAAGAAAAATAATGATGATGGTGACAATACTAACAACAAACATTCTGATGAAACCAAGACATCAAATTGATATTATTGCTTCTCATGAGATGGACTAGAACATGAAATGAAATGAATGATAAAGAGAGGAGAAGGAGGAATAAAGAATAATCATAGAAGGATGAATAAAGAGATCAATTAAAGCAAAGACTAATGGAGAATAAAATTAATCAAGATATGAGGACTGAAGGATGAGATTTATCAAGCAAGGATTAATATTGGATGGAATTAATTAATGCTAATGAGGAGACAAGTGATTAAAGAAAGATTATTCGTTAAGGGATTTCCAATTAAGGGATTGATTTGCTTTTTGGCTAAGGGAATGAAGCGTTAATTAAAGGAATAACTGATGAAGCGTCAATTAAAGGAATAACTGATGAAGCGTCAATTAAAGGAATAACTGATGAAGCGTTAATTAAAGAACATGACGCAATAATTAGGGAATAATCAAGAAAGGACACAGGTAATGAGAGGATAATTAAGGGAGGTTGATGAAGGGACAGCATAAAATAAATTGATACAAACAATAATAAGAATTATGCAACATCGATGACATCATGATTGCACACTGTTGATAAACATGATAAGAATGATAAAAAATAATAATATTGCTGATACATGTGACGTCATCAATCACAATAAAATGTTCATTCATGATGAAGAACAACACGAACGGCAGAACAAAGTCCCAAGCAGAAGCAGTACGAGATAAAGTCAGAACACACACGCAAAATTGTATAGATTTTATTCTCTCGAAAACACTTTGATTTTTTGGGAAAATTAAACCACTGATGTGATATTATTATTATTTTTTAAGACGGTGAAATAAAGGTTCATTTTTTCCAGTTTTGCTCGTTTCATTTTTGGATTAGTTTGTTTGTGTGTTTGTTTTTTTTCTCTTTTTTCCCTCATCCTGATCACAGTCCTTCGGCAAGAACACAGACACTAAGACACACTTTATACCAGCAGATTCTGCGCCATTGAGCAACACATCGCGGTCTTTCTATATCACTTTCTTTTTTCCTCTTCCCTTTCCTTTCCTTTCTTTTCTTGGGTTTATATTCGATGGCGAGTAGACTGAAAATCACGGAGGCCAAAGGAAGTTCTTCAGGAGAAGCGACTGCCTTGACCAGAGGGCCAACCACCCGTGGCGGCAGCACTGACGAAGGCACATGAGGTCCACCACCTTGAGCCACCCTCTCCTCCCTCCTCCCCCTGCAGGTCCCTATCCCGCGCCCACACCCTCCCGCGCCCGCCCCGAGCGGCAGCGGGCGTGTTTTCGCCGCCGCCCGGGTCCGCTTCCTTCCTCCGCGCGGGGCCAGAGGCTCGGCCGCTTCACTCCAGCGTCTTGGGAGAGAGGAGGAGCTCGAGCTGCTCCTGCGACTGTGTGTTCTCGAGCGGAGGGTCGCCCAGGCTCGGCGACGGCGGCACGGAGGCCGCCACCACCTGCACCCGGGGGCCCCCGCCCGACGACCCCGGCGAGTAGGCCGTGGTCGTGTCCGGTCGCTTCCGCGCGTCCAGCTTGGTGGCGCCCGACCCGCCGGGTTCCAGGGACTTGGCGGGGCTGGAGGAGCCCACGGGGGCCCACGTCACCGCCTTGGCCGGGGCCTCCTCGGCGGCGAAGTTGCCGAAGCCGTAGTTGATGATGCCAGGATCCACCTGCAGCGAGATACACAGTCACCACCCAAGGTCTGCCCGCCAGCTACCATGCCGGCCTCGCGCCACCACCGCCCCCGGCGGAGGGCGAGCGGGACGTCGCCGGATTGCCTGCGTCCGCTGCATGAAATGAGGGGAAGGGCCGAGCGGAAAGGGCAGGACAAGCAGAGGCGAGGACGGGCTAACAAGCCGCCTAAACTTCATGCGCAGGAGAGAAAGAGAGAGAGAGAGAGAGAATAGGAGGAAAGAGAGAGAAGGGGGACACAAATTGGGCAGAGACTAAACCGCAAGAGATCTCTCGGGCAACCCGCGACAACAACCCGTGCCCAGCGTCGTCCGGGCGGCGGCGCTGTGGCGGTGGTGGCGGCCTCCGTGCATGGTAACTGTGGGAAGAGAGGTGGTGGAGGTGGAGGTGGAGGTGATGAGTTAGGCTGGAGCTACTCGTGAGGCACGTGGAGGATCGGAGAACCCCGGGTTCACCACGCCTGAGGTTTCCTGTTGGGACGGATGCCATAGCATGCAGGGTGAGTGTGGGGGCCGTGCAGCCGAAGCCTACTGGTCTCAGCCTCATTCCTACGCCTCAGTCTAGACTACTTTCTAGGGGCTCCTGACCTCTGACCTTTGACCTGGGCACTTTCCTCACTCTACGGGGGTCCTGTTTGCACTCGCACTTCCTTTGAAGCCGATCGGTCTACCAAAAAGCTCTCAGAAGCTCTTTACAAAATGATAAAAAAATAACTACGGCTGGAATAAACACGTTTA